TTCAGTTTACCACCCAAGGCTACAGAACGTAGTCTGTCCTGCTATTTACCCATTGCTTGGTGTGGAGAAGAGATGGATTCATACCTTTCCTAAGACTATTACCATGTAAGTGAATGTAATAAACTCAACTGGAATTAAAATTTTGGTTTTTAATTCTTCAATCCAAGCTGTTATCCATTACTTCAGTGTGTTTCCATTAATTTCACTGTTTAATAAAATAAAAAAAAACAGGGATAGCAACTCAAACACACACACACACACACATATAAACAAAATAGATATTAACAACTGTATATGCTTGCATTGGCAGGCATACACAGATTAGTCAATAAATAGTTACTTAATTTAATATAAGGTGTAAACAAAAGAGTGCTCAGTGTAGTTAGGCAGAGCTAAGAAGTATATATTAATAAATATACCTATATATTTGTAGTATATATATAAAACATATAATATATACACATACATATATATATAACACATATATATATATATATATTTATATATATATATATATATATATATATATATATATATATATATATATACACACATATATATATATATATATACACACATATATATATATATATACATATATATATATATATATATATATATATATATATATATATATATATATATATATATATATATATATATATATATATATATATATATATATTAACTACTATATATATATATGAGTGTGCATAATTACAGTAATTTATTTGTATATATATATATATATATGTATAAATGTGTCTTTTCTCTGTATATTATTTATACACAAATTATTTTTTATACATAAGTACATATAAATATGTGTAATGTGTTTTTTCTGTATATATATGTATTCTATATAAATATGTACATAAATATATATATATATATATATACATATATATGTTTATCTATATATATCCTACATTAAATAATTCTTATACATAAATATGTACACACACACGTATATATATATATATATATCACGCTGACATGTAATACTGAATGTGTGTGTGTTAGAGAGAGTACTTGTATGCATATTCACTCTTATATTTATATATTCCAACCACCATTTTCACTAACAAAGAAGCATGTCACTATACACCAATATACTATTTGTGTGTAAAACCACACAGAGAAAATCTTTGTAAGTAAATATTAATTTCCATTTTTATTACATTTTCTCCTTTTATAATTCATTTTTTATGAAGTGACCTCTATATTTTCCACTTTTTTCTATCACTGAGAAATGCTTGTTAATCATAACATTCAAGTCATGACTGGATTGATGTTATTAAAGCTTTGAGATAGAAATTAAGATGTCTATAAAAAAATTCCTTATCATGAAAAGGGGACAAAAGTGAGAATTTTTCAACAAATTTTATCCAAGGAAATATTTTTAAATAATCAGGTCAAAACAAGTTGTACAATCACAAAAGTTAAGCAACATCAAGCCTGGTCAGCACCTAGATGGGTGACAGCTTGGGAATACCAGCTGCTATAAGTATGGAGCTTCAGTAGTGTGATGGATAATGGCTTGGAACTGGAACCTTGTTCCAATTGCAGTCAGATTTGTTATATTTACTTAAATACAAATACCCTTGGGAAAGGTATGAATCCACATTTTCTCCCCTAAGTTATGGGTTAATTAGTATAACTTGTACCACTAAATCATGAATATCTTTAAAAAAAATTCTTGCACTCTAAAGATATTTTCCAGTCTTAAATAACCTGCAAAAGGTTGATAAGCCATAAAAAACAAATCAATCAATCAAAACAAGCTCTCAGCCCACCTCTCTTCACAAACTCTGACTAAATAAGTAATCATTAGATTTTGATTTTGAATGTTACCTGGGTCAACAAATAACTAATGAAAACCAGAGAGTGCACCGGCCAAAACATTAATGAAAATAAAAGATGAGGACAGCAGCCCGAGTGTAAATAATGTGTAGAGTAAGCGGAAGTGAACAGTATCAAATCAAAGGAATAAATGACAAAAATAAACACACCACGCAAGGTTTCCACGCAGACTTCCGGTTTCAAGCATACTTCTAATTTTCAAATTAATAAAAATAAATAGTCGATAAAATCAGTTCCCGCCAATAAATAAACACAGGATTCTGGAGCCTACACGAGATCATAAAAAAACAAATATTCATTCAATTCGGCAGAAAGACTGACAGCAATGAAGAAACGCGAGTCGACCTCGTCGTTTTGTCTTTCTCATCAAAGCAACAGTGGTCTCCCTTTGATCTTGTCTTCCAACTCCATTTTCTCTCTTCCTAATTGGAAGACTACTTATATTCATTTCCTTACAGTCGACGAGAACTTTCTAACTTTCATTTCATAAAAACATATGACAAAGTTTAACAAACGTACCTAAAAAACAAAAAAAAAAACAAAACAAAACAAAAAAACGATGTCTTAAAGCAGGGGTCGGCAACTCATTCGACCCCGCGGGCCGGATCGTGTTATAATGACGGGTCGCGGGCCGGACGAAGGCCATTAATGAAGAATTAAGGAAAATTACATATGCAGACCCCTGACAACCTAAATATTTAAAAGTAAAACCATAATGAAAATAAACATTGAGAAATCAGAAAACAAAAGAAAATCTAAAATTAAAAAACACATAACAAAAATTACTTTTCCTCAAGGAACGTCAAAATACTTCAAAGTGAAAAATAATCAACCGAAGTGAAATGGATGAAATTATGACGTGTAGGTTTGAAACTGTTATTGAAAATTGTTCCACAAACAAACCACACACACACACACACACACACACACACACACACATCAAACAAAAATGAAGTACATATACCCATACATAGGAGTACAAATAGTTGCAAACATATACACTTACGCACGTACACATGCGGTATCATCCACACATTCATGAGGCATGTATGTATAATGCGCGTATGTTTAACTGTCTTTAGATTTCTGCTACCTCGCATTTCAGTCCCTCCCTGGCCTCTTTCACTTTATCGTTCCTTTCGCTTCTGTTACATTTTAATGTAGCCAAGGGTCATAACAAATATGTATCCATTATTTGACATTAAACGTAGGCAACGCAACTTGGTAAAATAAGTCTCGTGAAAGATAACTGGCAGATAGTTTAATATTTTTAGTGCACTGAGATGTGTAGACATTCTATGGAAAATGACATAACAAATGTCTCTCATGTTGAAAATAGAGTCATTGGTAATCAGGCTCGCGGGCCGGTCAAAATGCCTTCGCGGATCCGGCCCGCGGGCCGTAGGTTGCCGACCCTTGTCTTAAAGGATGATTTTTGTTCTTTTGACACCGGTATTACTGTGTATGCCCTCGGCAATTTCTGTTGTTTTACAAAAACTATTTTAAATTGTTTTAAAAAGCTATTTTTTAGAATTTTAATAAACTCCATACATATGAAACTGGGTTTATACATTTTCGTATTTTGAGAGTTTTTTTTTTTAATTTATTTACCAGAACAACTTTATATTTACCAGATTGTAAAAATATGTGAACCAACAATAATACAACATTCATTATTTAGCATATTATAAAGAAATTGTAGCGAAGGCGGATTGTTAAAATCAAAGGAGAAAATGGCAAAATTAAACATACCGCGCAAGGGCTCCGCGCATCCTTCCACGTTTCAAACAGACTTTAAATATTCAATTTAATAAAAAGAAATAGCCAATACAACCCCGCCTAAAAATAAACACGGACCCCTGGAGCCTACACATGACCATAAAAACCAAACCTTCATTCAACTCGGCAGAAGGACTGACAGCAGTAAAGAGACACGAGTCAACCTCGTCGTTCTGTCTTTCTCATAAAAGCATCAGCGGACTCCCTTTGATCTTGTCTCCCAACTCCACTTTCTTCTTCACCGAAAGACTATTTATATTCATTTCCTTACAAAGAGAAGAATTTTTATATTCCATTTGTGTGTCATACTGTTTCTCTCATTTTTTATTCAACAAGCGGTAACGCATGGAATCTTTCTCCAACAAATGTAAATAATGATTATAGAGCCTGTCTTCTAAAATAGAACATAAAGCTTAGACCAACTGATGTTTTCAAATCCAGATCTTTAGTTCCTTACCCACAGAGTAAACCACTTATTATCTATTATGCATGAACAAATTGTTTGCATCAACCCATTGAAATATGGCATTTGGAAAACTTAATTAAATATTTTACTTTCTTTACGCGTTTTCTGGTCGAAGTACTTCATTACAAAACGGTTTAAAATGTCTGCTACACTCACCAATGTAATGTTTGCATAGCGTTACGATTATCTGCGCTGAGAGTGCGATCGGTGAAACGAATTCCCATTCCGTCTGCACAAACGTACGAATCCATCTCTTTCCTTCATCCCACACAAAAAAAAGACGAACCCTAGGTTGTAAGAAGACAGAATGCATAGTCGTCAGCAAAGGGGCAACAAAAGGAACAAGATGCCATATTCGTCCACGTTCTGAAGGGACACGGCATATAAAGGAAGATGGGTTAAATAGCAATGAAAACAGTCTAGGAGCAGGGTAACTGTGAATTCAAAATCGCCTATACGTGGTGGAGCTAGCAACTCCACCTCGTAAAGTCTAATTGCTACTGAAACCGCAATGACTACGCCCCGTGTCATGATGCTATAGACTCCAGAATGAGTCTACAGGTTTAATCGACACTCGGTAAACTTTTTTTGACGGAATGAATTCTTCATTGGCTGCTTCAGGAATGTAAGCTGATACCAAAACAGGCAATGTTCTGTTCAAAATTCTGAGCTTGCTTATGGGTAAAAATTATTTTCCTATTGAACTGGATAGATAGATAGATAGATATAAACAGATACATAGATATATATAAATAGATATGAACAGATACATAGATTGAGTGATTGATTGATATGAACAGATAGATAGATTTATATATAGATTGATTGATTGGTATAAACAGAGATAGATAGATAGATATGAACAGATAGATATTAGATATTAGATATGAACGGATAGATAGCTAGCTAGATAGATAGATAGATAGATAGAAATGAACAGATATAGATAGATAGAAATGAACAGATAGATAGAAATGAACAGATATAGATAGATAGATAGATAGATAGATAGAAATGAACAGAGATAGATAGATAGATAGATAGAAATGAACAGATATAGATAGATAGATAGATATACATAAATAGATAGATATGAATAGATAGATATACAGACAAGCTGGCTGAATTTTAAATTATTTGATTTCATTGATAAAGTTACTATTTCAATAAATGCATTGTTAATTTTTATTAAAGTTACGAACTTTAAGAGAAGCATTTAATTAGTCTCTCTTATGCACATCATTAAATACAATCACTTATTAACTCAGATCACTCTGACTTCTAAAATATTGCTTGAGTTGCCTATAAAATATTTTTTGTGACATTGAGCTTTTATTTTACCGCTTTTATATTGTCATATCAGTAACGTCACAATACACATCTTTTTCTATCGTCATATCACTAACGTTAAAATTCATCTCTTTTATATCGTCATATTCTTTTATGTGCTGTGTCCCTTCAAGACGTTGGCGATCATAGCTCACCACAATTTCCTGTTTTTTTAGCTCTTAATAAATTTTGCCTGTTTTAATCTCTCCTTATTGTTGTTCCACTCTCTATTTACTCAAGCTTGCTAGGTAGGTTATTTATGCGTTGTTTTCCTCTGTCACTCTTGACTTCAGTATGTCTAACGTCAAAAAAATTAATCTCTTTTATATCGTCATATCTGTAGCGTCAAAAATCTTCTCTAATTTTTAGACATACTGTGGCACAACTTCAAAAACTGATTTAAAATGCCGAAAATTAAAAAAAAAATGAACTAATAAAAAATATTAGAGCAGATAAAAACAAAATACTTATTACATGCGCTGTAAATTTAAATGTTAAATTGTCTCTATGATTGTTTGAAAAGGTGGATAAAACTTATCTGACTATAGTCGCTTAAAAAGGTGCGTAAACCATATGTAACACTTTCTATTGTCGCTTGTAAAAGTATGTCAACCTTATGAAACTGTTTCTATAGTCACTTGGAATGTGCATAAACCTTATGTAAATTTTTCTATGGTTACTTTGACAAGGTGTGTAAAACCTTATGTAACTGTTTCTGGTCGCTTGTAAAGGAATTAAGATCGAATTAACTTATTTGAATCTATCAAATTTTCACAAAATACTTTTTTATTTATTCGCTGTCACTATGTAAGATACAAAAAACAAATATCAAATTCTTAAATAATAAAGAGAAAAATAACACTGATACTACTTTTTATAAACTGTCAATCCAAACAAACAATGTCCTTCTGTAAAAAATCGTTTGTCTTTTAGTTTCTTATTTTATATTTTAATGGATGTCTTTTATCGCCATCTATGATGGTACTTATAATTCTAGTCTCATGCGTCGTAATTGCACGCTTAACATTTATCTGCTGTTCACTTTGAGGCAGCCATATTGTTTACCGCAACATCCGCCAACAGCCTCGGAGATTCCAGGTTTTGTCAGATACTGTCACAGATCAATGCTTCCATTACGCTTCATCAACTTTTTCATTCTCGTTCCCAGGTCTATTCATGTTCGTTTGAACCTTTTTCTGCGACACCTTTTCTGATTTCTATGGTAGAAATGTTAGCAACAATGAAAGAAATGTTAAACGGACCTTCAAGTGGAACCAAGCGTTGAAAATACCACATGGAAAGGAGGAGGAGGAGAAGAAGGAAAAACGAGTGGGTAGGGCTGGGGTTTCAAGTAAGACGTTGTGAAAGATTATGACCGAAAGTGCAGTGGTTCGTAAGTTGAAGGAAATTATAGTGGCTCAAATACACCACAGGCATGCATGTGCGTTTAAATGTTAGCCACTTGATTTTAGCTAAACAGTTAACCAGTGAGAAGGCGAGATGTGAAACCGGATCAAGGAACAAATTAATATATGATATTTAAAGTTCTTAGATCTATGAAGTAAGTGAATTATACAAGCAACACTTTTCTAAAAGTGGAAATTTTAACTTTGCAATATTTAGGTCGGTAATTCTTTGAGCGTCAAAAGATGAGGGATAGCGTTATTCCAAAGGAACGCCCCTACAACGCTCATCAGACAAGTATTTCGCGTGGCCTCACCCTCTATTTTGAAAATAAAATCCACATTCGTTTATTTACGCATAATGAGATGGGTGGGCAATATTCCATCCCAGGGTGGGAATAAGATATTGGAATGCTCCTTTCTGGTTGCTGAGATAACAAACAATTGCAGTAAATTTCCGAAGCTTATTTTTTATTTATGTCACTTTAATGGTAGTAGAACGTAAAAACGACCTTTAAGTTGCGATAAAAAAAAACATTAAAAATAAAGCAAAGAAAAACTTATAAAAAAATTATTCTTTTATCATGAGGTTATGAACATTATATCTACATCAAGGCGACACATCGCCTTGACTTACATACATTGGAGGTTAAATGACAACAAATCTCAATATTCCAGCACTTTCCTCAAGATTTCCTTCTGTTTTGAACATGGCTTTGCGTGGTCTCGACCCTTGTGCGAGTTTCCAGTTTCGTTTTCCTTGCATTTTAGTTCGTTAAGCTTTCGGGATGTGCAGGTGGTGTAATGGTTAAACCCTTGGAGCGACAAATCACCAAGTTCGAATTCCGGTCTTGATTCCTAAATTCATTTTCGCACAAATACTGTATGAACCCATTTTTTCTCCCCATTCACACCTATAGGATAAACAGTAGGCCAGATTGGAATCTTTAACAATGCTTTGCAACCAGTATAGGAGAAAAACAACTCTGAATTCAAAACCGTGTGTGACCCTGGTGGAACATACACTTGAACTGTAACTAGGGCCCGCTCAGCAGAGTTGCTGTATAAAGCACAGATTAGCTATGTGTGTGTTGATGAAAAATAAATGGGCCTGAGTGGCTAGGCATGCTCAAAAATTATCAGCCATACTGAAGATAAGAAATCACACGGATTTGCCATGTGCTTTGAAACAGCCCTGATGAAGCTTTTGGAAGATCGTTCCCAGAGTTCCAACAACAATTGGAACTACTGTCACCATCAGGTTTCATTAATTCTTCAGTTCTTTGTAGATGTCTAAATATTTATCTAATTTTTCGCTTTCTTTCAGTTTTATTTTTGTCTGCTAGAACAGAGAAATCCACAACTTCAGTTTTTTTTTCTTCTCCAACGTGGTGTAATAATTGTTAGCAAGTTTGTTTTTTCGCAAGATCAATTTCGACTGGGTAGTGAGTTCGATCCTCACTGATCACATACTTTCGGCCTTATGTCACATCTAAGATAGGCTTAGTAAATCGCCAGTTTTTTTTTTTTCCTTTTTTTATCTTTTTTCTCGATAATTTGTTCTCATCTTCTGACCTCGATTGTGTGGTCCGTTTTAATCCACGTTTCCGAATCATTTTATTCAGATTTAGGTTTGTGCTTATATCATTGGATTGAATGGTCGAATCAGTCGTTCGAAGATTGTTTCCCGTGGGTCGCCCTAACTACTCAGTTATGCCTATATTTGTACTCTTTACTAAATTGCTCTATTTACCTAAAATTTAATAGATTTCATTTCTATCTCCGCAGATATTCTTCTGTGTTCTATTTACTTTGGAAGGGGGAGAATTCTGGTTAAGAAGTAAAAAAAAAAAGCCTCATTATTAAAAGATTCTGAGATTGTTACTTTGGTGTAAGCTCGAGTTAGAGTTGACAGATTGGTATACTTTTGAAGGTCGGGAGCTACTAAAATCTGGATTTCTATACTTGCGATGTTTGGAGTTACTTTTGAAATAAGCTGGGTTAATCTGGACTATTAACGAAATGAAAGTCAATTCAGAATTTACTAGCACTGGACTTCAAATGTAATCCAATCTGACAACGCCACCTTGAGCTGACTGAAATAATTATCTCCCTGCACCTTGCCCAGAAAGATTGTGATAGATAGAACAATAAAATACCCAACTCTTGGAAGGTAGAGTAACCACGTCCTTGTAGCAAAAATACTATGAGTTGATTTGTTACTTCAGTTTAAAGTATCAACCAACTGCTTAACGTTGCTCATTCCTGAATATTGTAAAATCAACCTAGATTTATATGGACTGAAAGTAAGATGAGTGAGGAAAAAACGAAATGGATGCTGAAAATGCGTTCAAAAACATTTTCAATATTGTAAAGAACGTTCCAATATTGGACTCGTTACCACGGTAGAGTATTGGATAGCTGCACGGATTAAAGAATCGGAGGGCCGAGTTCGAATTCCAGTCTAATCCATTACATTCTAGGAAGCACCTACTAAAATAGAGCCATTACATGCTAATACCCTTGGGAAAGCTATGAATCCTCTTCTTGTCCCCTCCCAGCTATGGGTAAATAGCAGGACAGACCGGGTTTTATAACTTTGGATGGCAACTGGTCTATCGACAAAAGAAATAGCAACCTACTGCGGGAAAAAATCTGCCTCGTCAGTCATGTATCAAAAGATACATGATCGCCTAAGCGTGTATCACGTATGGCACATAACTGACTGACCCAAAATAAACGCAGTTTTGTAAATTTTAAGGTAAATTTTTGCTATTACACCCGTTTCACTTATTGATTATATGCGCATGATAAATTCTGTCCTTACTTCACTGTCATTGGTCAGTTGATTATTTGAAAAGTATAAAATAATAGTCGAGAATCAGACGTGTGCAATAGTAAAATGATGTCTATTAACTTGTTATTGTCGACGGATTTTAATTTTTACGAAACCGTTTTCGAATCAAATAAAAGCTAAAATATATTTAAGATGTCGACGCCATTACAAAATTCGACCATTCGGTTTTAGCACTGAAAAGACGTTTTATAAAAGGAAGCACCTACTAAATAAGCCATGTTTCATAGGCCATAATATCGAGTTATTGAACATTCAAGGAATTGATTTTGTGGTTAAATTTTCCATGGTACCTGCAACAATTATGTTCATCATACTTCGGCTATATTGAGCTATATAGAATTTAAAATTCATAGTTTAAAAACTGGAACTAAAAAAAAAAAAAAAAGTTAAATGTAAGTAAAAAAAATCAGTTTTCTTTTATTTAACTGAATTTTGTAACTGATTATAAAATGTATTTAAAATGTTTTATTGTGAGTTGTAGGTACCTCCAATAATTCGCAAAAAAAATCAGTATAGCATAATGATAAAAGGTCTCAAAAGTTTCATCGTTAAAATTTT